TATATATATATAGAGAGAGAGAGAGAATCACATTGGAAATGTATAAATATATAATCATAATAAATAATATTAATATTTATTAACTAGTAATAACATAATGTACAATAATTAATCATATATCAATTAAAAAACAGTAAATAAAAAAATACATGTTTAAAAATTATATTTAAAATATATTAAAATATTAATTTATTTTATATTTATTTAAATATTTAAATGTAATGGTAAATATTATAAATAATATTGCAAATATTATCAAATATATTTACAGATATTGTAAATAGATGTGACTTTTAGGGAAGAAGTCTTGAGTTCTAACAGTTGTTTTTGTGTACAATGAAGTCGGAACTGAAGAGGAGGAGGAAAAGCTGATTTAGAAATGAAACGGTGTCACGGGTTTTGATTTTGCGTTGACTGTAGACTGCATTGGAGGAAACACAGAGCTCACACATGAGCGGGTCAGAAGATGTAAGAGTGTGAGCCGGAGAGAGAGAATCACATTGGAAATGTATAAATATATAATCATAATAAATAATATTAATATTTATTAACTAGTAATAACATAATGTACAATAATTAATCATATATCAATTAAAAAACAGTAAATAAAAAAATACATGTTTAAAAATTATATTTAAAATATATTAAAATATTAATTTATTTTATATTTATTTAAATATTTAAATGTAATGGTAAATATTATAAATAATATTGCAAATATTATCAAATATATTTACAGATATTGTAAATAGATGTGACTTTTAGGGAAGAAGTCTTGAGTTCTAACAGTTGTTTTTGTGTACAATGAAGTCGGAACTGAAGAGAAGGAGGAAAAGCTGATTTAGAAATGAAACGGTGTCACGGGTTTTGATTTTGCGTTGACTGTAGACTGCATTGGAGGAAACACAGAGCTCACACATGAGCGGGTCAGAAGATGTAAGAGTGTGAGCCGGACACTTACGCTTTTAGAGCCGTGCTGAAGCGTGATCTCATGAGTGTCCGGGATCTTCTTCACTGGATTCTGTCAGAAACACAAACATCTTCAGTGACTTTTAATTCAGTATAAGACGAATGGAAGGTCGTTCGCGGCAGGAACGCGTGTGCAATAACACATCGCCAAAACATCATATCCAGCTCTCAGAGCACTCTTGTCCAATCAGACGCACGCAGGTCTGTGTGATTTGTGGCGTCAGCTGATTACGCCACACCTGGGCCTGATGGGATACATTTAGCCGAACGGCCCGACACCATACCCATCTATCAAAGCGGCCCACGGCGGCCCTCAAACACCACAGGCCTGGGAAAACAGAGACGTCTGCACACTGTTACAGAGAGACCACGACATTTACAACTCACACACACACACACACACACACACACTCACTCACACACTC